CATCTGCACCATGTCCAGTTTGGACTTAAGCATGTCCTCCTCCTGTGAGTGTCGGCTTTGACCTTCCTGGCTCTCACTCACCACACTCTGGTACTTGCCACTCAGATCTTCCACACTCCCCTTCAACCTGCTTATCTCACACTCATTCTTCTCTACTTCCTTCTCCTTCTCCTCTAACTTCTTCTGTAGTTCATCCAGTTCTGAGCTAGACTTTTCTTCCCCTGCTGCCTTTGCCTCCTCGATGAGCTTACACCTCTCTTCCAGCTGTCGAAAGTTTTCACTCTGAGATGCCGTGTGTTCCTGCGTGGCGGCTAATGATGACTGGGAAGTTTCTAACTTCTCAGAGATTTCGGCACACTGCTTCTCTAGCGAATCAACTTGATCAACTTTGACTTGCAAAGACTCCTTACATGCAGCCAGCTGTACCTCCAAATCATGTATCCGTGCAGTACACTTTTGCTTCTCGTCAACTTCTTTGTGAAAACCTTCCTCTGCTTTGGCCACCTCAGCACTCAGAGCTTCGCATCTCCCCACAAGAGTTTCGTTTTCTGTCTTGACATCTCCCAACTCCACATCCCTTGTCTGAACCAACACTTCTAGCTGATGAAGTTTCTCAGAAACAGTCCCTATCTCAGCCTGGCTGTCTGCCATTTTCTTCTTCTCCGTATCTACAGCTGTCAGTAAGGTTGCGTTTTCCTCCGTCTGTGCGGCCAGCAAAGATCTCGCCTCATCTCTGTCAGTCTTCATGGCATCCAGTGAGCTCTGTAAGTTGGTGACCGTACCGTCACGTTCCAGGATTTCGGCTTCGCGGTCCTCCAGGTCGGCCTGAAGCATATCCAGCTTACACTTGAGTTGAGCCGTCTCCTGGTCATGTTTGGTTTCCGTCTCGGACGTCTGGCGTCCAGCGAGGGACAGTTTCTCCCTCACGTCTGTCAGCTGACCCTCCAGGTGAGAGACCAGGGCCTGACCCTGCCGCAGCTCCTCCTCTCTTTCCTCGAGATCTCGCCCCAACTTCTCCAACTCTCCCTGCAGAGACTGTTGCTGTGACTCCATCTCCTCCTGCACGTCTCTCAGCGTCTGCTCCACAGTTCGGAGATTGTCAGCGTGAGCCTTGAGCTGTTCTTCCTTCGCTTTCAGTTCTGCTCCGTCCCGTTCGGACTGGGAAGACATTCTGGCAAGCTCAGCTCTCGCTTCGTCCAGTTCCGTCTGTGTTGAGACGACAGACTCTTTCTCCACGGAGACGCTCTTCTCCAACACTTCCACTCTCTCTTGCAGTGATTGCCTCTCTCTTTCTGAATCCATCAAAGTGTCCGTTTTTTCTTTCAGATTTTTCTCTGTCTGCTCAAGTGTGTTCTCTAAAACCTGCAAATCTGCTGTTTTATTCTCCAGCTCTGCCTTAGCCTGGCTCATCGAGTTCTCCAGGTTGACAATTCTTTCTTTCAGTACCTCCTCCTCACTCTTTCTCTCCTTCAACACATCCTCCCTGGCCTCGAGAGCACTTTTCAGTTCCCTGACCTCAGTCTCCAGATTTTGCATGGAGGTCTTCATCTCTTCCCTCTCCTGGGTCACTGTGTCCAGTGAGGTGGTCAGATTAGCTGCCCGTGTGGTCAGTTGATGGATTTCCTCTTCCTTGTCCTCCAGGTCCATCTGTACCATGTCCAGTTTGGACTTAAGCATGTCCGCCTCCTGTGAGTGTAGGGCTTCGTGTTCGGCAGTCTCTTGTGACAAGCTAGAAACTTTCCCCCTCAGCTCACCCCTCTCATCCTCCAACGCCTGCACCTGCTTCAGTTTCTCGCTGAGCTCAGCATTTCTGCTCTCCAGCTCCTCCTGTAGCTGACACAGTTCACTCTTCAAACCGCCTTCCACCGACAACTTTTCCCTTTCCACCTGCTGCAACTTCTCTTCCAATGTTTTATAATTCGAAGTCTGCGTAGAAATCTCTGTCTGTGTAGCTGCCAGTTGCTCTAAGGCAGCCTCCAGCTTTTCTGAGACCTCTGCGTTTGCTCTGTTGAGATTTTCAATTTCTTCAGCAGCAGCGGAAGAAGCCGACCTCTCTGAAGACAAGATATTCTCCAAACCGTGAATCTGAGACAACAGGTTTTCTTTCTCACCAACAAGTTCCTTTATTTTGAGCTCGTTGTCAGAACTAGAGGCCTGGAGCTGTCCACATTTCTCTGTGCTTGACTTGAGTTCTTGCGTCATTGCATCTAAATCTTCCTGAGACTTTGAAACAGTAGCCTCTAAGTTCTTGACCGTGTCTCTCATTTCTTCCAAATCCCTTTCTCTTTCCTGCATTTTTTCTTTTTCCGACTCCACCTCCTTCTTCAAGTGCACAAGCTGAGTTTCAAACTCCTGTGCGGAAGTAACCAGACTCTCCTTCTCTTTGCTCATGTTCTCAAACAAGGCTTTCATGTTACTGAGCTGATTGGTCACGTCCTGAACGCTGGCATCCTTCTGCGTAATCTCTGCCTCCACAACCTGCAGTTTGGCCTGGACAGTGGCTAACTCCTCCTCATGCCGCGCCTCGTCTTGAGACTTCTGCTCGGCTCCCTCGGCACATTTTGTCTTCAGACTTTCCACTTGCCCGCTCAACTCTTCGACAAGAGACGACTTTGCCTTCAGATCCTCTTGCGTTTTGGTCAAATCTTCCAGAACCTTCTGTAGCTCAGTGGCTGACAACTCGACTTGTTTTTCCTTCTCGTTCTCCGCCTGCTTCCTTCTGTCTTCCAGCACAGCGTAGTTCTGGCGTTGAGAGGCCAGCTCCTCTTGTCTGAGACACAGCTCTCCCTGCACCTTCTCACACTGCTCAGACAAGGATGCACACCGCTCTTTCAGAGTCTCCACCTCACAAGCCTGCGTAGAGGACGCACCTCGCTCTGCGTCCAGTAACTTTTCCAGTTCGCCGATCCTAGACGAACAACTTTCTATCACTGTAGTTTTTTGTTGGATTTCTGTCTCTTTTTCCTCAACAGACTTCTGTAACCTCTCCAACTCAAACACTTTGTTCTCCACATCCTTGGCTTTACCCTCAACGTCCGCTTGAGTGGAACGTAACAATCCTTCCAGATTGCTCACATGATCTTTCAGCCTCTCCGCCTCAGCTGCACCCTGACTCGTAAGCTGTTTCTCAGCCTCCAAAGCCTTGGCAAGCTCAGTCACCTGATTCTTAACCTCCACATTCTCAGCAGAAATTCCCTCCAGCTCTGAGGCTTTCTGCTTCAAGTTCAACTCCACTTGCTCTATCTTATTTTCCAACTGGGCTTTGCACTCCCCATGAGCAGAGCGTAAGCCCTCTAACTCCCCGGCCGTCAGCTCAAGCTTCTTCTCCAAATCTTGCACCTGGCCCAGACTTTGTACACTCTCAGCGTCTCTGGCCGACAGTTTCTCTCTCAGGTTCTCTTGTTGTGTCTTCAGTTCCACAATCTGCTGGTCTTTGGCACAGATTTCTGCAGACTTTGACTCAGTTTTCTCACAAAGATCAGACACTTCTTTTTCCTTCTCGCTGAGCTCTGTCTGAAGTTTCTTTTCCATGTCCTTCCATTTTTGCTGTGCATCTGCAACAAAGAAGGAAAAGTAACATGCAGCCATATTATACTTTCAATTGGCAAACACAACAAAAGACATATTAATGTGTGATATACGCCTTGAAATCACATTCATGCAAATCATGCTTCAGCATTAATACAATGAAGCAGTACTGCTTTTTCTAAAACGTTCCCTACAGACATTAATTTTACAAGTGTCATTAAGATGTATTCGAGTCAAGGTACTATTGACTTGTCCTTATAAGACATGCCTTGCAGCCTACCTTCACTTCAATAAAATGCCATATGACTACAACATACAGATGCAAAAAAAGACATATGGAAGAAAAGAGACAAAAGATGAAAGATAGAAAGAGAAAAAAAAAAGACGAACAAAGGGAAACAGACAAATTCCACAGCTTTTTATCTACAAGATTTTCCATAAAGAACAAACATGAACGCTACAAAGATTCTCATCCCCCGTTACCTCCTTTTAGTTTTAGTAAGAGTTTTATGGCACTTGCAACACATTTAGGTCATATAAGTGCCGAAGATTAGAGGTATTACAAAAGAGTAACAAACACAAAAAAGAAGGAGGAGAGATCAGGACTATATAGATGCTTGATCGGAAAGAAGGAACAAACCACATCAGAGCACCCGCCAACCACCCATCCCCCGTTACCTCCAAGACTGCGATCTTTGTCGACCAGCTGCTGTTGAGCCGCGGCCAAAGACGTCGTGGAGGCTTTCAAATCTTGTTGTAGTTTCTGCATCTGGACCGTCAGATCTGTGGCAGAATCTTGCAGCTTTCTGAGGACAAAGTGGACAAAAATTAAACAGACACAAAAAAAAAAAGTGCGAGGAGTGAAAAGGAATAGACGAACGGCATGACCAGATCAAAGAAATAGGCATGTTGTATGAGTGGGTGGAATAGAACGGGAAAGTAATACGATGAGTGAATAAGTATCGGAAAGTTACATGTTGAGGATAAAGTATAGGAATGAGAAAGTTATATGATAAGTGGACAGGAACAGGAAAGTTACATGGTAAGTGGAAAGGCATAGGAGAGTTGCATGATGAGGGCAAAGGAATGGGAAAGTAACACGATGAAGGCAAAGGAATGGGAAAGTAACACGATGAAGGCAAAGGAATGGGAAAGTAACACAATGACGGCAAAGGAATAGGAAAGTTACATGTTGAGGGCAAAGTAATAGGAAAGTAACATAATGAATGGCAAGGAACAGAAAAGCAGGAACTTCAAATGATCAACCACTTCAATTAAATAGCAAGATAAATAAGCAAACTGGAGAACAACTTGAAAGTTTATATGGTGCAAAAGAATATTCACACAATTAGTCTTTACAAACGCTTCTATGAGAAAAGAAATTACAAAAAGCATCAACTAGGTGCTGAAGACGGGTGGTTGAGGCGAGATTGGTGAAAGCGCAACTCTATCACAATATGCATTTTACTTAAACAAGATCAACAAGGAGAAAAAAATTAATGAAAGAGTTAAAATTTTAAAATGCGAGGAGAAAAAAAACCCGTAGTGGTACAGAAATCGATGCCACTTATATCCTTCACAATAATAAAGGTATGAAAAAGCAATAATACACTCAAATGAACATTTAAGGAGGGAGGGAGGGAGACAGAGAGAGAGAGAGGGGG